AAGGTCTTTGAGGCATGCTGCTCTCTAACGCAAATCGGGGCAACTAATCACACAACTAACCAGTTAGCCCCGCAAGCACAGTTCCGGCCTCGAGCCTTTGAGAAATGTACAGCCCTGCGCCACCTTAACCTGGAAACAACAGAGTATTACCCCACCAACCCGAACAGAAGCTTGCCTGAATGTTGTTTCTTGGAAGCCGGCATCGTCTCGCTCTCCCTGCCACCAGATTTCACTTGGGTTGGGCCTGCTGCCTGTGAGCGTTGTCAACAGCTTCAGATCGTTGACCTGTCCCGAACGGATATTGTCGAAATACTGGGATCTACCTTTGCACACTGCTCGCATCTGCAGCAGCTTAGCCTCTCCAGCAACTTGTGGAGAATAGAGCGAGAAGCTTTCCTCCAGTGCGCCTCACTACAAGAGGTCTGCATTCCATCAAGCTGTACATTGCTCGGCGAGCCTTTGCTGGCTGCGCGCAACTTCGCACATTTTACAAAACTGGGAAAAGCACGACTTGGAGAGAGACATACGCTCGGGTCAATGCCTTTGACAAACGCGAGAAATTAGACAAGCCGAAGTGGCTTCGTTTCCTGCCGCCAAACGCCAAAGACAAGTGGAGGGAAGACTTCACTGAAGCAGCGCGCTAGGACTTACAGTAGCTTAGTCACACTGTGTTAGAGTAAGGCGCCCTTCTCCTACGGTTCGAGTGCAGGCCAGGCTCCGACAAGCAGATAGAGTTATCAATCTCGCCTTCACCGCCTGCAATTTTGTGAGCCCACCGGGATGAGAGCCTTAGCTCCTCGTCCCTGGTAGGCGGGTGGTAGCAGAGCGGTTGATGGAAGGCGCCCAGGTTGCTCGTCTGCGGCAGCCAATCTTGTACAAAGATGGCATAAGTACCATGCTAGGATAGGTCTCTGTCTCACCTGTTTCACATGGGCCATGCATGTTGTAGGATAGTGACCTCAATGCTCACTATCTGATGGATAAGTCACCCCTTTGGCAAACGCGTGGGAGCCATTGGGTGTGCGGTGTGCCTCCCTTCTGGGAGGGAAATCAGCACGTCGTCAGCAGTCCTTTCGTTGCAATGCCTTCCACTGCCACACTCAAGATTAGCCTCTGCTTTTCGTACGCGCAATCTGTTGTATAGTTTGTGCCACGGAGAGGGAATTTTCCACGGCTTGCCCTGCCTTGCAACTGATGACTCCTTGGGCGTGTGTCATTGTCACTGCTGACCTTGCTCTAGGCACTTCGTAGAATGTCGAAATACTCCGAGTGCCAACCATCAAAGTGGCTTGGGTGACTTCATCCTCGCCAACAGAGAGGCCACACTTGATTGGCCGTTCCGAGCAACCACCCACGACCAGATGCATTTTGCCTTTCGTGGTGAATTCAGGCCCTTAGATATTTTGCAGTTCATTTTTTCACCTGTCTCACATCCGTACAGAGGAAACACTACCAACATTGATGGGGGGTCTTTGGTTGTGGCCTTGGTTTTTTGTTTGCTTTGGGTTTGGGTTTTGGGGTTTTGGTTGGTTGTGTTGGTGTTGGCTTTGTGTTTTGCTTCCCCCATCAATATGCTGTGTTTCCTATCCTTCTACGATGACCTGAGCACACCGCCCACATGGCGTCCGCACTCGTGGAAAAAATCTGCTTCACCCTTGCATGTACATCCAAGAGTCTCCATCTTTGTGCCTTCTTTGTCGGTTTGTTTGGTTTGGGGCGCTTGTTGTCTTTGTAGTTTTTTGTTGTTTGGCTCCCTTTCATGCTGGAGAAAAAATAATCGCACAAGCTGACCTGTACACTTCCTGCATGAATGGCGGTTCGACTCGTGCAAAGCTGAGGATCACACGGTACAGGCTTGGCCATTCTCTGCAATTGCACGTTCTGCCGCCACTCGGAAAGCTTGGAATGCACTGTTTGAGCTCGAAGAATGCCGTGCCGGGCCCCCTCGAGATCATGGTCTGGAGGATGGCACCTGCTCCGGACAGGTGCACGACGCCCGCAAACCACGCAAGTCACTCAAACAAGCTTCAATTCTCAGTGATCCTTTTGGATGAAATCGTGTGCAGTCTTTGTTGACTTCGAAAGCATTCGCCCTGACCATCTGACTGCAACACCACGACATTGTCTAGCAATTCAGGTTTGTTGCCACTGACTGCCCACTGGACGTCCTTCGGACATTGGCGAGCTGGCTTTTATGTGACTCATGCCACCGAAGACAGCCACTTTCTGTTGCAACTCACCAAGCCCAGTCTTTTCACACCGAGCAAGTGCTCTCTTTGGTGTTTGGTCCCATGAAATCGAAAATCTCTACAACAGCTGACCTTCGCATTCTTTGCGATCACTGGCAGCCGCACGCATGCAAAAAAAATCTTTGTTGGGCGGCTGCGTCGTCTGAGGAAAGTTCCAGTCGAGACGAAAGGTCAAAAAAATTGAGATGGGTTTTCATGAGAAGTCAGAAAGTTTCGAAGCTGGTCGAAAGTCTTTTGAGGATCGGAGTCGGAAGGTCTTATTGGCAAAGTCATGGAAGATCTTAGAGACTCAGACATGGCTTTCTGGACGGTCGTGAATCCGAGATGGCTTGGACAATTGTGTTCAGCGTGGAAATCTTCATGTTTCTTTTGCTGAGCGAGATCTTTTGCAAGTCTGGAGTCAAAGTGGCGATCAATGGAAAAGAGCGTCACGTCCAGAATTGCCAATGATTTGCCAGAGCATTTGTCGGTCTCGTGGAGTGGAGACAACGTTGGATCACGTGGAAAATTTGGTGCCACTTATCTGGAAAGATTGGTTGCGGACTTGCAGGAACTGTTGAACACTGCAGTCCTTGCCATCACACCAGAGGACGAACAATGAATCGCCTGAAACTGTGCAAAAGCTGTGACGAACAAACACCTGAAGGAAGGAACAAATCAGACCGCAGAGTCCACTCAGACTACAGCTGGTTCAAAGTGAATGATCTTCACTTCAAAAGGGGGTGTGAAAGGTTGTGGCGTTCGCGAGGTGCAGGCTATTGTTTTAGCTGTGAGGCTTTTGCTTTTGGAGTGCGTAGTTTTGCATTTCAAGTGTTTGAGCAAGTGTTCCCCACGGAACTTTGTGTTTGGATGTGTTTTGGACAGCTTTGGAGAGCATAGCTCACGGAATGCATAGTGTTTAAGAGCTTTGTGAAGAGAAGTCTTTGTAGTTTTTGTAATGTGAATGGGTTTAGAACAATTTTGCGCATGTTTTGGGTGCTCTACGCTCGATACCTGCGGTATTTCGCATGGGAATCGTTTGTTACAAGAATGCCTCATAGCCTTTTGACCTTTACTTGTTTGGCTCAAGTGCGCAAGAAAAGAGGGCGATGCGTTATGCTTTTGAGCGCTGTTGCCAGTGCTTTCGTTTTGTGTGTAGAGCGTTTCTAACCTATTTACTTAAGGTAGGAGGTTTTTCACGAGTTCCGGAGGTTACAGAGATGAGTGAGCCGCCGGAAGGTGAACATTCCGTTGGAGAAACTTTGGATGCCCCAAATGGGTTGTACATCGAACAACTTACCAGGTCGCACATTATTTTCCAGTGCGAGCTCAGTTGAAAGGCCTATGCCAATTTCAAGGCCAAACAAAAGTGGTGGACTTTCTGATGTCGAACATGAAGGAGAGACAGAAGCTGAACGAACAGAGCGATACGCGCAGTCAGGGACGGTTGGACGAAGTGAGTGGTCCTGAATCCTGACAGCTCGTCAGAGGGCACCAATGGAGGAACACACTGTGGAATGCGTGTTTTTTGTTGGATGCCCCTGTGAAGCCGTCTGAACCGCAGGCATCCGGTTTTGGTTTGAAGTGCCGTGCAACAGTTGAACCACGGTAGAGTACGACAAAACAGCACTACCAGCAAATTTTCGCATGGACGTTGAACAAGTTGCAATACAAGTTCTTTTGTTGAAATAGTGCCGGAGAGCGCCGGAACGGTAGCTAGACAAACCTTTTTCTATGTCACCATGCAGATGGTGACTTCCATTCAAGCATCTCAAAAAAATATTGCTGAAACTCGTGCGTTTAGCATCAAGGCGAGGTGTGAAGTACTTCTTCGCTGCGTACCCCATGCGTATTGAGGTGCAAGTGTGTGCTAGTTGAAAGCTACTCAGCTTCCGCAGCGCATGGGGTCGAAAACAGCGTGCTACCAAACACTCTTTCTGTGATAGGCCCCCTTTTCTTTTGTTTCTCAAGCGTTGCTGCATGAACCCCGGTGCCTTCAGAACAGGGGCTGCCCTTTTGGAGACCATTCTGCTTGAATGCTTCTTCAATTTTTGGTCCCACTTCGTGCTTATCCGCTTCCTGTATAGTGGATGCCAAGGCATTTTAGGCCATAGCATCCCAAGTTCCGCTTTGGACAACTGCGCCCGCGCCTTCAGTTTTGTAAGTCGAATCATTTGAAGAGCCACTATTACTGTCCAAGACTTTGTTCTGTGTTTTGATCACTGACGTTGGGGATCACTTGACCTCCAGCACCGTGAGGTCTTGGGTTTGAACCCATTGATCCTTGAGTCAACTGATGCTAGAGATTTCTTGACAGAAAAAATGTTTAGTTTGATTAACAACCACACTGCCAAATGTTGCCAGTACTTCGTCAGCACATTCGTGCCCAGCTGTTGAGGATTTTTTTGTATATTTTTGATGGCTGACCCATTTTGGACACCTTGGCATGGAGGTATCTATGCATATGTTTGGTAGTGGATGTTGACGAAGTTATCCCGTAACCCTAACATGTTGACGAGGCATCGTCACAGGCGTGGATAGGGAAACACTTTCGTAGCTTGCGTTTTTTGTGCACGGTTTGCTTTTGGTTCAAAGGCGAAATTTTGCTTCATATCGGCCAAATTCAACCATTCGTGGAAACAACTAACCATTCTTGATGAGATGCAGTTGCAAATCTTTGGCCAGAGTGAGCCCACACAGTTTTTGAGAACAATACGTACAATTTATACAATTTTTCAGGTTCAACGCAAAAAATCAACCCAGCAGATTCAACTTAAACATTCACGGATTTGATAAGTTGGAAACCGATTTTGCTATGGCCACAGGGTCGGAACCTCAAATGAAACAACTTTGGTTCCGCTGTTGTGTTGTGTTGTGCCAGGGATGGGACAGCGAAGGCGCCAATGTGACCCATCATGATGATTGTGTTTTGAAAGAGCATTAATCTGATGGCAACATTTGAAACTGTCAGGTGAAACTATGCGATGCATTGGTTCAAAACTTGGCTGTGGGCAAGGTCTACAGGGACCACAAGGGTCCATTAAGTGGGCAGTAGCCTGAGTTTTCTGCAGTCAACTCAAAGATGTGAAACGCCGCGTTTTTCTGCATTTGTCCAGGATGGATTTTACTTACGACGGGCAATTCCTTGTGACATCCGGCGAGGATTCGTTCACAACCGTGACATATGTTGGGAATCATTTTAGCAGAAAAAATGCGGAACAAGGTTCACAACCACCAGGGAACGACACTTGTAAAGGACAACAGCGTCTATGTGTACTCTTGCGAGAAGGCTTCGCGGGTTCGACATCTACGCACTGGCCTCTGGCGTAAAGAAAAACAGCCGCAAACTCCTCCTTGCTGCGTTAGCCAAGGTTGTGAGAAGTATGGCATAGCTTTGATTCGGTTTCTTCACAATGACAGGCCGCAAACATTGGCTATATGCATTGTGTATTTACCTTTTTGAACGCAGTTTATGTGCTTATGATTATGCTTTGGAATAGACGTTGTCTTAATGCATGGGAAAGCCCAATGTTCCATTAAGATGACCTTTCCCCTCTTCCGTGACATCGGTTAATTTGCCTGCGGTGTTACATTTGCCACGTTTCTTGGTTGCAAGAATCACTGGAAAAATGGACGAGAAATTTCTTACTGACAGGGTGTCTCAATAGCGTTGGAACCGTTTAGACTTTTGACATCTCAGTGCAGGGATTGTGCTGTAGCGGCTTCAAGAAACGAGGTGTGGCTAGCATCTGCATTTCATGCCATTCTGAGTGGCAACCCTTTGCCTTGCTAGGCTGACCATCTACTTAAGTATTGGGATTTCCACGACAACAAGTATCTTCGCCACAGCCCCGACAGATTGTTTTGGGGCAAGTCTATTGATAGACAACTTTGTTGCAAGGCTTGTTCCGGAGCCACACTGGCAAAGTCACCTCAGCCGGCATCCCAAGCTGAAAGCAGGAAAGTGCATTGTGGCGAGTTTTGTGCTTGAAATCTTGCTTGGCAGGTCAGCCCGCATCCTTACGAGGCTTAGATTCGGTTGTGAGGCTTTGAGGGTTCCTTTTGAATCGCTTCACCCTTCAGGACTTGTTTCTCTCCGGTGCGGAGGACAGGTTTACAGAAAGTGGTTTAGAGAGATCGCCTGAATTCAAAGCTACGAAGGACAAATGCGTGCTGCTCTGGGATTTGAGACAGGAGAATCCTTTCCGGCCATCACTTCCTCCGTTCTGGAAGAACTTCTGCATGCTCTGCATAGGACCGGCCTGTGGCCAAAATCAACGGGCAGGGCACAACTGTTGCAAGCTTTGACCAGCGGGGTGCCCTAATGTGCTTGGAAGCAGATGGAAAGAGCTGAGAGGCGTGGTTCTGAGTGCTATAGCTCACATTTCAAAATCCTTGTAGATAGCTTTCACATGTTTTCACAGTTGGTTCCGATATTCTTTGTCCTTAGCTCCATGTTTAGGGTGCTAGCCTGCGGCCTGAGGCAAGGCTTGGTCTTTGCAGCTTGTGTGGGACAGCCAAAGCTGCATCTCTTCGACACGCGTAATTATGCCAAAGGCTGGAATTGGGAATTTTCACTTCCACCCTTGTAGCCAACCTACAGCGATGGCCTCCGCCCTAGTAGCGATGGCCCACGACCTAGTAGCGATGCCAACCTAGTCTTAGTAGCAATGGCTTCCAACCTACTAGCGATGGCCCTGTTTTCTTGTCAAATCACGTCCTTCTGCAGGAGAATTCACCTCCTTCGACTTGAGACCGCATCTTAAAGATCCAGCCATGAGCTGAGTTGAAACACACGATGGGACTTTGGAGATTCTTGTTCCTTGTGAGGCTCATAGTGTACAGTTCAGCCCATGCGGCAAGTACCTGCTCCTTCGTACCCCGTGCTTGTCCCAGAGTCCCAGAGTTGCTGTACCCGCTGTCATCACACATTTGTGCTATGTGACTTGTTGGTATGCACCGGAATCTTGCCTTTTCTGATGTTTTTATATCCTTTTGTTTGAGGTCCCAGATGGTGTTGATTGATGCCTTTGATGGGGAGCTTATCTGCGAATACCCTGTACAAGAGCAAGGTGCAAGACATACGACTGTACAAGAGCAAGATTCATCGTGTTGAGGACAGGCACAAAAACGCATGGAATCACATTACTTGTCGCTCTTTGGGTCTTCTTTTTTGAGCCAGTCAAAACTGGAGCCAGTGGAAACTGGAATGGTTCTAAAGAGGACGGATTTGTCACAAGTGGACGGACTTGGAGCTTTGCGTTTATTGACTTCCTTCGTTTCACAGGCCCATCTTTGCCCTGCTTTTCACCCGATTCGCAGTCTGGCTCCCGGAATGCCGCTTGCTAAAGAGAAAGGTATGTCATTTGCTTTCGAGGTATGTCATTTGTGGCATGTCCAACGGCGACGTGTGCATATGGGGTGCCACAAATGCGCTCCCCACAGATCCTTGTGCTTGTGAAGGACCACATGCAGTTTTGAAGTTTCAATCATCTGAATAGTGTAGGCACGACTTGTGCACAAGCTGGAGGGCCACACAGCCCTGTTTCCCGCCTGCAGTAAAGCCTTGCGAACTTTGCACCCAGCTACTAGCGTAAGCCTTACCACTGCGCTACTAGGAACAAAGGGCATCGCTGCTAGGAGCAAGGACGCTACGGAGCGATGCCCTTTGTTACACGAAAGCCAGCTGATAGGCAAGAGTTGTTTAGCGAACGAAGTGAGGAGTGGGCGGGAGGGGGTGGCGGAGAGTGTGAAACAGTCTGGATTTTGCGGTTTTTGTGATGTCGATGATGCGCAACCTTGATGGATTGCATCATTTGCATTTTCAGTGCACTTGTAAGCAAGTTTATGGATGGCCAGCTGGATGGGTGGAGGGATAGATGAATAGAAGGGGAGAGAGATAGAGAGAGAGAGAGAGAGAGAGAAGCTGAGAAGCTGAGAATGATGGAGACATAGTAAGCTCAGTTTCTCAAAAAATCTAGGAGTCTAACAAGTCTGAGCTATCCTGCGTCCTAAGTAGAAGCTACTCATTCAGCTACTAGCTTCTGCCTCCCTCTACGGCCTGCCCCGGTGGGTGGATGGATGGACCGGGTGAGAGTGTCAGAAAGATAGCGAGACAGAGAGACCAGCCTCAAAAAATAGGGAGAGAGAGGCACGCAGAAAGACAGAGAGGTTGTTGAGTAGATGTGGCTAGATATAGAACGATTTTCAATCCGTCCGCGCCGAAGTTATGCTGGGTCGCGCAAACCGCTAGAATTGCTAGATAGCATAGCTTAAGCTTTAGCTGGAGTTTGTTTTTTAACGGACGAGAAAGCACGCCATCGGTGATGTCGATTATTCTGCCCGAGCGAGACTGCATTTTTGACATCCTGTGTGCTTGCCCCTGTCGAGCTCGACCGAGACCGACCGAGACAGACAGACATTCGGGTGGTGCCAGAAGCCAATATACTACTGGCACGCCGACTGCTAAACTAACCCAGATGTTCATTTCTTTCTTACTTGCACCTACCCCTCGTGTTTCCATGACCGTCCACACTTCTTCTGATGCTTTGAGCCCTGCGCCGCTCAGCACACCGCTTTCGCTTTCGTTGGAGACCCCAAGTTTCCGTGCGGGTGGCTTCGACCGCGAAGCGGTGTGAACAGATGTGGATAGATGAATGTGTGTAGAGTGCAGACAGGCCAATGGATGGGACGAATTGGTGGGCAGATAGGTGGCTGGATAGAAGGGGAGCGAAAGGTACAGAGATAACGAGATTGAGAGATTGAGAGCATTTGAGAGCTAGAGAATGGAAAGAATAGTTCTAAACCTTTTGGCGGCGACTGTTTGCTGGCCCTGTGTTTCTTCTCATCCCTTCTCGGGTTACTTGGCTTGCTACTAGAATGTTGCTACCCCTGCCGTTAAAGATTGTTGGGCATGCTTCATCCAAGGCCGACTAGGGCCTGCTTCAATCCAGCTCATGCACTGGTTGTCACGGCGGCTGAAACGCTGGTGGGAAGTGCACGAGTAAACTTTACATTTCCTTTTTTTGCAATTTATAGTTTTTTATTTCTTTTACTTTCCTTTTTGGACATCATTGGTGTCACAAGCGCTTTGATGCATCAGGCTTGGTGGATACCAGACACTGGTCCACCAGTGCCCCAGCAGCATGTTGTTGACCAAGGCTCATGAATTTCTTTCAATCTCACTGGACACATGCAGCCGAGGCAACTTGATCCACTGAGTGGGTCTCGCTCGACATTTGTTCATGTGATCAGTCTTAGGGTTACGCTCAGCGATGCAGCGGAAATGGCCGAAAATCTTGCTTGAGGCTAGTTGGATTGCCTAATCATCCTAGTCCAAGGGCTTTGCTGAATTTTTGCATTTGATCCTTGGGAGGCTGTGCCTAGATTGGTTCAAGCGAAACTCTCTACCACGCAGCACGCCTTCCTTTCTTCCGTTCTCACCGCGCAACTGTCCAAGGTCACTGATGCTTTGCAGGTTTGCACGATAGGTACTTTTCTCCAGAACCGCTCCGTTCCTCCGGAATGGCCAATTGATCCGAAGATGGAGTAGCGTGCGACCTTTTAGTTGTTGATTGTGGTGAGTGGCTGATGCACTGTGAAACTGCAACTTGGAGACGCCAGTAACGTTTTCCGTGGCAGGTATCTTTGGACCGAAATCGCAAACTTTTATGCGACTGGTGCCCCGCAACAATATTTGCTGCCAAGTGAGCACAGGCCGCTTGTAAAAGAAATGAAAGAACATCTCGAAGAAGCTTCTTCAAACATTTTGAAGCAGGCAGGTAGGAGGTGTGCTCACTTTCGGTGGCCTAGCTGCAGCGTAATGACAGAATCAAAAAAGATCAGAAGAAAGAAACAGAGGCACAAAAGGACGAACAGGTAAAGGAGATTCAATTTGCATTGAAGTCTCGAATCTCAAGGCAGTTGCTGTTGCTGTTGGTCTGCTGGTGTTCTTTCTGCGCTGCTTCTTTGCAGGAAGCATGCTTATGGGTCGCTTCGGGCGCCAGACTTGAGTCGCTGCTCCTTGCCAACCTGAGAACTGGGCCCTGCTGAACAATCTTCAACGAGCTAGTCAAAAAATCTTTGCATGCTGAACGCCCTTCGCTCAATCCTCAATGGTGGTGTATGAATGTATTTGATGCGGTGTAATTACAATTCAGCAAATTTGTGCTATTTGGGGGATGTGCAGATACAGATTGATGTGAGGTTTGGAGAAAGAACCACAAGCAGCCCATTGACGGCCGCCTGACTTGGGCCCTCTGACTTCTTGAAGGCGGAGGTTTGGGCTTCAGGGTGCTGACGAACCAGCCACGACCACCTGTAGGCGTTGCGGTCGCAACTACGAGGCGGCAGAGACAGCAAGGCAGTAGAACCGTTTGTGTCAAATGGTGAACCGTTTGTGAGAGATGCTGAGCATGAGCAGTAGAGATCCTGAAGCGTTTGTGGGAGTGCAAACTTTTATTGCCCAAGAAGGGTTCCCAGTTCCGTCGGTGCGGGGACCCAATGGAGGGCCTGCAAAGCGATTCTGGAACCGCATTTGCGGTAACTGTGCTCAGCGTGCTGGCAACAAGAGTTTCGCGGCTAAACTTGGTTTGCGTGTTTGATTGAGCACTCCGAACTGACGCTGAGAACACTTTGAGACAACTTGAGCAAAATGCAGACGTGCGTGCTCAAATATATGTATTACGTATAATTGCGAAAGAAGAGCTAGGATGACACGCACAACAAGAAGTGTACCGCACTGTCTAGGCCTTTCCAGCTCAGACCAAAAAGTCCGCATGGTAGCGGAGCCGGACGAGGATTTCATTAGATCTCCTCTGAGCTCCAGCGGACGAGGACAGGACCCGAATCCTCTCTAGCTCGGGCCCCCGTGTTTTCCTTGACCGCGCCGAGCCACCATAAACTGGTGTGGCAATCCTTGCTTGTGGCTACATCTTGAGGCCGGTCGAGGACACCTTGGATTACATCTTTGCCCTTTGCGTGGAGTTTGATTTGACCCTTGAGGAACCTTCTGACAGTCCTACTTCCTGACCACCGAGGCGGTTCCTGAATACCTGGTTGGGGAGAGTTTGCACTTTGAGCATGGACGGTTCCGGAGGCCAGGAGGTCTATGCCATGGCAGCTGGCATGCCAGAGCTCACTCAGGCTCTGATCACTGCAGCTCAATCTGCAGCCCAGGCACCGCAGCCAGCTCAACCAGCATCATCATCGGGCTCTGCTGAAGGGAGCAGCAGCGGAGTGCTGAAGAAGGATTTGGCCAAGCTCATCCCAATGCCTAGCTCGTTCTCTCCAGCTGATCGAGAACAAGAAGTTCTTCAATGGAGGGATTGGTACTGGAGCCTCAAAAAGTACCTTGTGGTTGTTGATGGCAACTTCCAAGAGGAGATCGAGCGCATTGAAGGCAACATGTCCAATGAAGTGGATTGGGATTTGATGAGCAAGCCAGAGCAGGAGAGAAGCCGATTTTTGTATAGCTTGCTTGGGCGCAAGGACGCCTCATTGGAGTGGTGAAGAACGTGGAAAGCTTTAATGGCTTTGAAGCTCTTCGTCAGATGCTGAGCAATTGTCAACCTCAGGCCCGCAATCGCACCATGAACCTCCTGCAAGGGATTATGGCATACCCTTCATTCAACACGAAAGGATCGCCTTTGCCCCACATCCTGAAACTTGAGGAGCACTTCTTGCAGTAGGAGCGGTTGGGAGGAAGCAAATTGCCCTCTGACATGAAGTCAGCAGTTCTCTTGAGAGCGGTCACTGGTCAGATGAAGGTGCATCTGAACCTCACGCTCAATGAGGGAAGCTCCTTTGCAAAGATTAGAGAAGCCATTTTGGCCTTTGATACTGCAACCACGAAGTGGAATGAGTCGGCAGCTTTGTCATTTACAAGTTCGAGCCCATTGCAATCCGCAAGTGATCAAGGAGGACCAATGCCGATGGAGATTGACCGGTTGCAGCAGAAGGGCAAGGACAAGGGCAAAGGCAAGGGTAAAGAGAACAAAGGAAAGAGCAAGGGCAAGGAGGACAAGGGCAAGCCTGATGGGCAAGAGCTTTTTGACACCAAGGATTGTTGGATTGTGAGACAGGTTGAAGCACTGCCAGCAGCAGTCAACAAACTACTTCATTGTCGACCACGGCAACCAGCATTACAAGTGGAGTGGATGCAAGCAAAGCAATCCGACGAGTTTCACAGCCCCTAGAGTGGCTCAATTCGAGTGGTGATAGCAGGATGGTGCTTCGAGAAATGTGGAATTTTTTCCGCATGGATATTGGCGAGGAGGGTACAAAGATCCAGACCTATGGTCACAAGGACGTTGACATTGAAGGTAGTTTTTAGAGAGCGCTTGACCTCCTGCGATGTGGTGATCCAGCCCATTCTTTCTTCTGCCGCTGACCGAAGGTGGAAGATTGGCATCTGCTTGGGAAAGACAGATCTTCAAGACAACTGGATCATCGGTGACGGCAATCGAGTCTTCTTCAGCCGGTCTGTGAGAAGGGTGGCCAATATGAGCAAGGAGTACTTGGGCTGCTTCCAGAACTTCACGGCCGACAGTTGGGAGTATCAGCAGAACTTTGGTGGCAGAATTGTACCATCAAAGAGATTGGCATCCATGGTTGGCGCTCAGTTGAGTGTTCCCTTGCCAGAAGTTGCAGAGGATGATCATGATGCCAAGGAGGCGCTAGCTTTCAGCAGATCCTTTGCCGGGAAAGTTGAAGAAGCTCGGGATTTGGTCACCAAGGAAGCGGAGGTGAAAGAGAAGAAGGAGAAGGAGAAGGCAACCGAGCTGAAGCCTGATGAAATGGCTGAGGAAGCTCGCGTCCGAGAAGACAAGAGGAAGACCTATGAGGAGGAGCCAATTCCAGAATTGGTGCCCTTTGGAGTCGATGAGGACAGGAACCAGGCAGGGCCTTCGACGCCCAGGCCTGCTGCTCAGAAGATGCCTGCCCCTTCAGGTAGTCAAGAGCCAGATGGAAAGAAGTTGAAGCAGACAGTTGTGAAGCCGGTTCATGACCTTGAGGCAGAGTCACCAGCCTCGAAGAGGCTAAAAGGTGAGGATACAGTTGAGAGAAGGCTTGTTGGGATGACCCAAGTTGGTGAAGATGTTTTTTACCATTTGGGCCAAGCGGTGGGGCAGGAGGAGCTATAGGCCTATGAGTATGAAGTTCACGAATGCGAAGAGGAGGAGAAGCATGAAGTGCCAGAAGCTCTATGGTCGACCGCTCCATTGGATAGAATTCCACCTGATCCACCAAAGTGGATAGATGACTTGGCAGATGCGGTGGAGGAATGGCGATTGAAGAGGTTGGGAATCTTGGAGTCCATCGTGGAGTTGAAGGAAGACCACAAACTGCTGACTACCAGATTTGTGAGGGACTGGCGAATTAAGCCAAACCCCACCAAAGAGGGTTCAGCGAAGATGTTCCTGGAGGGCTAAACTTTGTGCTGGGAGCCCTGGATGTCAAGGATGCTTTCTTACAAGCGCCCCAGGAAGAACCGACGCAAGTGACCACAGCAGGAGGACACTTCCTGGTGAAGCGCCATTTGCCAGGACAGAGGATCGGTGCAGAGGCATGGTTTGAATATCTGACTGCATGGCTGAGGGGGAAAGACTTCATCTTCTGGCAGATCAATCCACGCTTCGGCCGTTTTGGAGACGAGGCGTTGCTGCTATTCACTTATGAACTCTTAGACAGTGGCCTGAAGATCATGCCGGGAAAGTATGCGGAGACGAGGATCGAAAGCTGTGAAGCCACACTTGGCAAGGCAAAGATTCAAAAGCTGCCATGTACTCAGGAGATGCTTGAACCTGATCTGACGACGCTACTAGATCCCCAACTGGCAATCTTATTTAGGTCTGTGGTTGCTTTCACAGGAACGTCGAGATGTGGCCTTCGCGATCAAAGAGTTGGCAGGGTCTATGTCAAACCCTACAACAGACAGTCTTCGCAAGCTCAGCAGGTTGATTGGTTGTTTGAAAGACACTTTGGGCCAGTACACCATACTAGAAATGCCTGAGCCAGGAAGAGGGCTCGTGGTCAAGACCCTCAAGACCAGATGGTTACTGGAGACGTTCAGTGACAGTGGCTGGTCAGGTTCAAAGAGCACGAGAAGGTCGACTTTTTCAGCTATCCACATGGTGAATGGGGTTGCGGTGATGACAAGTTCAAGAGGCCAGAAATCAGTGAGCCTTTCTTCAGCAGAAGCCGAGCTGAATGCTTTGGTCTCAGCAGCAGCGGATGGCGTCTATGTAAAGCGGCGCCTCGAGTTTCTGGTTGACGAAATGGTTGGGCATGATTGTCTGGTGGACAATTCAGCTGCAGTCCATGTCAGCCACAAAAGAGGACCAGGAAAGTTGCGACGCATTGATGGCAAGCTGCTGTGGATTCAAAATATGGTAGCGCAGAAGATCTTGAATGTCAAGCCAATTGGAACAGTCTACAGTGTCGCTGACCTAGCCACGAAACCACTCACCAAGACAAGAATCAACTTGATCTTCTATTGGTGCAACACCTACGACGGCCAAGGAAGACGAATTGGTCAAGATGAGCGCGACAGACTAGATGCTTTTGGAAGGCCTTGAGCATGTGGCTGCCGAACGAATTCAGAAGGAGAGCGAGGACATTTCATCAGCAGGCATCAGCTGGATGATGCTCTGGATAGTGGCGCTCACCATGACTGTCACTGGTCTGTGCATTGTCATCTACCGGTTGTGGAAGAAGGTGAAGGTGATTGAAGATGAGCTGATAGAGATCAAGGACAATGCCAAGACGGATGGAATGATGATTGGAGCCTATGGTCATGAAGCCCAGGAAGGCATCAGGGGGGTGAGAAACTATGTGCAGCGAGTTCGCAAGGGCTTGATCAAGGCATCTGGCTACATCGACCCAGAAGATGTGGAGCCATGCGAATGGCTTTACTGGGGTTACATCCAAAGATCCAACAAAGACTTTGACTTGAGGAGGCTTGATGATCAATTGCAGGCCTACAAAGAAGAAGAAGAAGCAAACCGAAATCGATCCAAGACAAGAATCCGACTTCCAAGTGGACAACGCGTGGAAGAAGAGGGAGAAGAAAGCAAGGAATTGCAGTCAGGAGAGATGGCTTTGGTTCAGTTGGACTCAGGTGAGATTGTGAACATTCCGGTAGAATATATACAGCCAAGAGAACCAGAAAGTGAGGCTGAGGGTGAAGACATGGAAGTGGAAACAAACCCTCATGATCGACGTGATGACACCGACGTGAACCAGAGTTGGCAGAACGATCCAACTATGAGTCAGGCAACAAGTGGTAGCATTCGAGAGGGGCAGATCTGGAGCTTGAAAAGCTTGGATCAACCGAAGCAACGTGCTAGCTTAGAGCTCGACAGCGCCTCCTGCACCTTGAAAAGGAATGGTGGGGAGCGAGTTCACGAGATGATGTTGAGCTCAGATATGCGCCATCCATTTCTAGACTGCCCCGGATTTCCTGACTCAAGGTCATGGAAAGGCGCGCCCTAGCTCTTCTCCGTCCATGAAGGAGGAGTGCGAAAGAACAGCTAGGATGACAAGTGTAACGAACTGTCTAGGCCTTCCGAGCTCAAAAAGTCAACAACAACAACAACTCTATCTATCTATCTATCTATCTATCTCTCTCTGTCTGTCTGTCTGTCTGTCTGTCTATCTAACCCTATCTATCTATGTATCTTATCTTATCTATCTGTCTATCTAATCTAATCCAATCTACTCTAATCTAACTTAATCTTACCTTATTTTATCCTATCTATCTATCTATCTCTCTCTCTCTCTGTCTGTCTGTCTGTCTGTCTGTCTGTCTGTCTGTCTGTCTGTCTGTCTCTCTATATACAGACTATCGGTTTTGGGTTGGAGGCCACTGCGTATCATGTATATATTACGCAAAATACCTGTGAGAAGCATGTCGTGAGTAGCATGTCGTTTGTGAGCGCAACACCGGCGCCAGGTTTGGTTCTGGGACTTTCACCAAGAAATACCGTTTGCCTGTGGCGTCTTGCGATCGAGCCTTGTGCGCCCTGATGACTTTGGCAATTTGGAGTCTTGGCCCAAAGGACACCAAAACCAGCTTCATTACTTGGCCGGCGCTTGTTTTGAGCAATAAGCAATTGTCAATTGTGTTTTGCGGTTGTGAAAGTCGCTTTAACTTGACTCTGGCGTGGCTTACCAAGCACTGGAGGCAGAGGTGAACGTTCGAGTGGTTGAAGGGCGAGCGACATATTTCAAAGCAATCACTACCTTCTGGGGCCTCACAAGTGATTTACTGCTGTGCCTGTTTCCCTTTACACGAACAATGGCCACGTCCTTGATGGCGCCAGATTTCTGGTGCTGTGTCGTTGCTACAGTCGTGCTCCGTCTTTGTGCGTTGCCATCAGTTGACTTACAGCAGAAGGATGTGGAGACCGTCATTCTGTTTCTCAACGCCTTATGTGTTGGGATAGGACCAAGGTCACAAACTTGCTTCCTTGATTTGTTTTGTTTCACAACTTCAGGTGTGTGCACGGAACACAAACAGAGTACGACGTTCAAGAAACTCTTGTTGTTCAATGCCTTATTTGTAGTTCAAAGGTTCAAGAGCATCTTCCCATGTGTTGTTGGTTAAAGGATTCCTTCGGAGGTCTGAAATATCCTGCGTAAGATTTTATAAGGGCTTGCTGAAAGTCTAACATGTTTGGCTGTTTTTAGTGATCCTTCACGTAATAATGGTTTGTGATCTTACATGTTCTCCGTAGCCATTTTGGCTCAAGAGTACTTCAATGTTCAGCTTGGCAGTTACCACCTGCGAACGGTGAATCTGCCATGCTGAATGTCGATACATGACAGCGCGCTTCATGTACACATATGGTTGGCACATTTTTAGATTGCTTGATGTTCTTTTTGTTGGCACTTTGAGCTTGCTTCAAACACTTTAGTACTTACCATTCACGTACATCAACCGCAGCTCATTTCACGCAATGGAAGTTCCTTTCAAGGTGAAGCGCTATCGGGGCCCTCAGTCTTCGCCTCCGCGGCCGAAAGCTTTGAGCTGCGCGCCTCCACACACTCGAGAATTGGCCCCACATAGAATAGACGGTTTGCCTACGAGCTTTTCTGAGAGCCCATCCCCATTTCTAGCTCCTCAGATTTCGCCACGAAGGGTTCAGTTGTTTCATCACTTTGAACCTCTTCCAAAGCCAACATTTAGGACTGAACGTCGAAGTCAGCCTTATCCATCGACTTGTACTCCAGAACTTGTCAATGATGTTGGTTCATCTTCGAGTTCTTTTATTCCCGCCCCTGTGCCCGCATCGATACCTTCAGGTTCACGACTCAAGCACGCCAGTTCGAGTCCTCAGATTGTCGCACAACAGCAACTGGAGTCAAATCAGCGAAAACTTGCTGAATCCCTGTTCGAACAAGTTTGTAAACTTTGTCATTCTTACAGTGATCTTCTTTCAAGCAATCAGTCACTCAGCTTTCGCCGAGACTTGATTTCTTTGCTCGTTCGTAAGTATAGTCCCAGCGCAATCAAACGTTATTGTATTTCCTTCTTGAATTTAGCTCGGTGGCTTTTTGATCTTGATTTGGAGTTGCAAACATGTTCCACTGTCGATTTAGTCGATACGCTTCGATTGATGCATTCAGAGTGGTCAGAAACTGACCCGGACTCAGATGAGCTGCAGTTGTCACCATTGATTAGTCTCAACACGCTCCAAGCGCTTCGTTGGGTTTCAAACGTCCTTCAATTTTAAAAATCCTGGACTTGTATTCACCCATCTTTAGCAATCTTTCTTTTTCATCAAAAGAAACGCATGAGAGCTTTCCGCTGCCCTTGTATGTAGTCCACGATTTGGAACTTTCACTAATGGAAGGCCATAACTCGCTTCAAGAACGAGTCTTCAAAGGTTCCTTTCTTGTGTGCATTTGGGCATCCCTTCGTTTCAATGATGCTCAACACGTATTCTGGGATAAACTGATTTTAGACAACGCCTCTCTGCGTGCTGCATGCTTTCAAGCCAAATCCAGTAAATCTGGATACCCGTTTGCAGTTCAATGCCTCGGTCTACTTTCTGAAGTTCCCCAATCTAGTTGGTTGTTGAAATGGCTTGAAGCTTTGAATGACGTTTGGGATGCTTCTGTAAAAAAGTATGGACCCTTGTTCATTCCAGATCACCTCTTTCCCAAACTTGACGGCTCAGGTGCCATTTTGGAACCGATGTCATATGCTCAGACCATCGCCTTTCTCAGACGTTATCTCAGTCAGATTGAAAGCCTTCATGATTGCGCCATTGGATATACCCTTCATTCTGCCAAAGCCACATTGTTGTCATGGGCTTGTCAATTGAATCTAGATTCAGAAAGTCGTGCTTTGCAAGGCCACCGCAAATCATCTTTAAATAGCAGTGTAAACCTGTATGGAAGAGATTCGGTCCATGCTCCGCTTCAATTGCAAACCGACGTACGCACCCAGATCATTCATGGTGGATTTCGTCCATCCACCCCGTTGCATCGGGGCGCCCAGTGTCCGGCGGTGGAACCTGCAGTAACACTCACGTATAAAAGCCAGCCTTTCGAGCTCTCTTCGATGAATTTGCATCGATTCAGGGTTTTCCTTCTAGAGAGTCCTGTGGACACCCCTGTGCCAAATCATATCCCTGCGTCAGAGCTTGCCGAATCTCCCTTGTTTGTAGTCACTCCCAAGATCGTGCATTTTGCTTCTTGGACCGTCCAACACGGCTTGGAATTTCGAGGCAGCAGATTCCGGCCGAAATGCGGTGCTCCGATTGTTCCGGACGCTGAGGTGTCACAAGAACTCCCTAAGGAAGTACGCAAAGCCTGTCTTACAGCCCTCCATGCATTCGTGCCCGATTGAATGCAAAAAGAATGAAAAGACGAACATGTAGGAAATAATCCAATTATTTCGAACATTTTGCTTCAGAAATCCGCGTATTTTCAGTCGATCGCACCCCAGTCCGCAATATTAGTAGCAGGACTGCAGTTATCTAGACTTGAGTTTAATCTTTGGTTCATTCATATCTTCTCGCTTGCATCTTGAAACTGCATTCTTTCCAAGCACAGTTCATTAGTTTCAAGGGTAAGACGCACCTTTCAGCCACCATGGAGTTCCTCGCAGTGCTTCTTGCTTTTTGTGCCACGCCCGACGGGGTTCACCCCAATCCAACAGCGTGAGAATCCTGCAGGTCGATCTTGCACGCCTCCGGTGTATCCCATACGACCCAACCTGTGGGGGACCTTTGGTGCGCCTTGACCTCGCTTCAGGCCTACATCAACCACTTCGGGATGACATACGTGGCAGCCCAAGCCCAATCGCTTGACATTCCGCTTCGCTCGAGCGCACAGGCCACACCCCCGGCACCTTTGTGGGCAAGCTGGCAAGAACCCAATATCTTGGTTCTTTCAGCGGAGCTCTCCTCCTCGATTGGCGTCCTGAGAGAGCTGCAATTGGTGGACGAACACACCCTTTTTGGAGTCAGCCCTTTTAGTGCTCCTTTCGGTTCGAGGATACCTTACTCCTCCAATTGACCAGGGCATGTAACAAGACAAGACCCTTCATTTTCCAACTAATCGGAAGCATTTGCCTTCCGGAGTTGACCAGCTTGGTCGGCAGATGGCTCGAAAAGTCATCGCGTTTGCAGTCAATGGAGGTGAATCAATTTGATTTACCCGAAATCGGAATTGCTCGCGTTTGATCATTGCAGTTGACAATGACTCACTTGACTCAATCAACGATTGATCGCTTTTGGGCTCTTTTGCCAATCCGCTCCTTCCACCAGTTGTGTGGAACTCAGTCGTGCGTTGTCGACCACTTGAATCAGCTTGATTCCTTCTTCTTACATCATCTAAATCAGACCTACATAGGTTAAACTAGACGACGAGTGGCCCGAAAGCATTTTTCATCACGTAGGAAGTCAGAGTGTGAGTTATCTGTTAAGTGTTCAGTGTGAAATGTTAAGTCGAGTGAGTTGAGGCAGTGTGTGGGTCCCTGTGTGTGTATGAGTCTCTGTCTGTGTGTGTGTCCGAGTAAGTTGAGGCAGTGCGTGGGTCTCTGTGTGTGTGTGTCAACCTCTCAAGAGAGCCGGGTGGTCGGGAGACATGACTCAGCTGCAGGGGCGCCACAGCAGCCGCGACAAAGTCGCCAGTTCTCAGCTTCCAGCTCCACAGATTGCTCCGCGTACTAAAGTTGTACTACAAAGTCGCCAGTTCTCATCTTCCAGCTCCCCAGATACTCCGCGTGCTAAAGTTGTACTACAAATTCGCAAGTTCTCATCTTCCAGCTCTCCAGATACTCCGCGTACTAAAGTTGTACTACAAAGTCGCCAGTTCTCAGCTTCCAGCTCCACAGATTGCTCCGCGTACTACAGTTGTACTACAAAGTCGCCAGTTCTCATCTTCCAGCTCCCCAGATATACTCCGCGTACTAAAGTTGTACTACAACTTCGCCAGTTCTCATCTTCCAGCTCCCCAGATACTCCGCGTACTAAAGTTGTACTACAAAGTCGCCAGTTCTCATCTTCCAGCTCGTCAGATACTCCGCGTACTAAAGTTGTACTACAAAGTCGCCAGTTCTCAGCTTCCAGCTCCCCAGATACTCCGCGTACTAAAGTAGTACTAGAAAGTCGCCAGCGCCTGCGTTTCGCGCACTCGACACGCACGATCTCCGCAGAGGGTTGCGCGCACACCGGACAAATCGCATTCTCGCCTGCGTGCACGATCTCCGCAGAGGGTTGCGCACGGACCGCGCCAATCGCACTCTCGCCTGCATTTCGCGCACTCGACACGCACGATCTCTGCAGAGGGTTGCGCGCAGAGGGTTGCGCGCGGACCGGACAAATCGCACTCTCGCCTGCATTTCGCGCACTCGACACACACGATCTCCGCAGAGGGTTGCGCGCACATACGCCAAATCGCACTCTCGCCTGCATTTCGCGCACTCGACACGCGCGATCTCCGCAGAGGGTTGCGCGCGCACAGACACAATCGCACTCTCGCCTGCGTTTCGCGCACTCGACACGCGCGATCTCCGCAGAGGGTTGCGCGCATACGACAAATCGCACTCTCGCCTGCATTTCGCGCACTCGACGCGCGCGATCTCCGCAGAGGGTTGCGCGCACATACGGCAAATCGGACTCTCGCCTGCATTTCGCGCACTTGACACGCACGATCTCCGCAGAGGGTTGCGTTTTCGGTTGACGCTGTTCGTCCCACCCTCCGCCTTTAAGAGAGAATTTATAAAGTGGGGAAATGTTTTTGATTAGGACATCTCCCGTGCAAGTTTTCCATACTCATACTTGCGTACTTGCACTGGGATTGCGCTGGGATACTTGCATACTTTTGCACTTGGATACTTACACTTGCATACTTACCCTTGGATGCTTTTTACCCTTACACTGGGATACGTACAGACGTGTATGTGTTCAAGTGTCAGTGTGGAAGCGTCAGT